GGTTTAGGGGTTTCGGGATTTAGGGCCTAGGGTTTAGAGGGTTTAGGGGTGTAGGGTTTAGGGGTTTCGGGATTTAGGGCTTAGGGTTTAGAGGGCTTAGGGGCGTGGGGTTTAGGGATTTCGGGATTTAGGATTTAGGGTTCAGGGGTTTAGGGGTGTAGGGTTTAAGGCTCAGCAGCTCCGGATCGAGCAGTCTCTGGTCGAGCTCGCTGTTTTGATCCTAGAAAAATACTCACCCACCCACCCAGCCAGGAACCCTCAACGTTGAGAAGCGGTAATTTTTAACTAATCTAGCGCTCAGATCCTAGACCGTAAAACCCATATCCTGAACCCTTAAACCTTACGATTCAACGACAGAATAACTTAAGACCCTATGATACGAACCCTAGGCCCTGAACCCTAAAGCGCGAACCTGGGCCCTGAATTCTAAACCCTGAGCCCTAGCTCAGGGTGCCGCGCATCCCCTTGAAGGATGCCATAAGGCTCTCTAGGAGGGTCCATTTTGAAGGGCACCATGGGGTTTTGTATCGGATGCCCATTAAAAAGCACTTTACCTTCAAACGGTATAGGGTTCCACAATAGGGCCCCCTGTAAGGGTTCAGGGATGAGGAATCCTATATACTGGGTCTGCAATAAACAGCTTGACCGCCGACAATCAACCAAGGCAAGTATGGTCATTACGATTGCGCGTAGTGCAGCAACCAGCGAACAATACAATAATGATGCGGCTATGCACTCGCAGATGACTCCAAACCCCAACTAGTCGCCATTGCATATTTTACATGCTTGATGCGAAGCCAAAAAAAACTTCAAAAATCCTAAACCCTAGACCCTAAACCCTAAATCCTAAACCCTAAACTCTAAACCCGAACCCTAAAGCTGCAAAACCCAAAACATCGTCAAACCGAAGAGCCCTAAACCCCTACAAGTAGTAGTAAGCCCTTAACACGCCCAAAACTTCAAGCCCTAAACCCCATAAACTACGTAACGTAGGGGTCTGAAGAACAGAGTTTTAAGCTTCTTTATACTTAACACAAGGAACCGTAAGAACAAATATTGGTAATTATTTAGGCTTCTATATTAGGGCACCTTTTTGGCGGCAGTGTCGATGGGCCCGGTGAAAGGCCAACCTTCGATATGACAGCTGTTGAATTCTTTGGGCTCACGGGGGTTAAAGGTTTGAGTAACTAAGGCTTACATAAGATTCGATTAAGGGTTTAGGGTTGAAGGTTTAAGGTTGAGGTTTGTAGGGATTAAGGCTTACTGTAGGAGTCCAGACAATTGCGAACTGGATAAAGGATGACAGTGGTCGGATTGCATGTAACTTACCTTGTGAAGGCATCACTTCCAACTTTATCGCTTCGAGTTTACGGCCAGTGCCTATTGCTAAACCCTTTCCTGTCGCATCCTAAACCCTGAACCCGAATGGTTCTTTCTTGAAAAAAGCTCTCAACCGGCAAGTCTTCAAACCGGCAGACGAATCCCCCACGAGACTTGAACCCTAAAGCCAACCCTAAACTCTCAATCCTAAACCCTACTTGGAGGTTCATGGGTAGTTCTAAGCAGAGTCCAAAGTCCCCTAATTCGGTTATTTTTTCTAGCTACCCTACTTATAAACCCTACTTGTACCTACCCATGAAGCTCCAAGTAAACCATGCTAAACCCTAAACCCTAAACCCCTAAACCCCTAAACCCTAAACCCCTAAACCCTAAACCCTAAGCCCTAAAATCTGCAATTCTCGACCTACGTCTGAGGTGCCCGGCGCACCGCGCGGCCCTTGGCGAAGCTCCTGAGCTGCGTCCTCTCTCCCTGCCGAGGGCGAAACCTGGGTGTCGAGTTTGAACGACGATTTGAGAGTTTCTGAAAATTAGGGGTACCTTATTCAGGGGTCCTTATAATAAGGATCCTATTATTAAGGGTACTATATTAGGGATTTTCGGAAACCCCCATTTCGGCTTAGGGTTTAGGGTTTAGAGTTTAGTGCTTGGGGTTTAGGGTTTTACCTGGAGAACCCGGTAGCCGATAATAAAAGGGACCGACGCAAGTTGCTCCTTTCATCCCCTGGTGCCGGGAACTATGGGGCTAAAGATAAGCAAACTCTCATCAACTGTACTGAAAACGGAAATCAGGTGAACATGCCTGATCTATCTTACTTTTTCCCCATCAGAGCTTCCCCTGCAGATGCAGCCACACATTCACCATGTATCTTGACATGGTT